TAATCTATTACAGAAATGACGTAACAATGAAATTAAATTGTGTGTTATTATCTCACGTGTAGGCGCCTTATGTAACTTTTCCACCGCCAGAAGAGAGAAGAGGAGATAGGACACTTTGTCGTTCTTGATAAGAAAGCTTCACAGAATCCCACAACAAGGCGCTGCGAAGGGAATCCCGCGTGATGTGTGACACGCTCGCTCTTTGGACGCTGTAATGCTTCGCTGGTTGTTGTTGTTGTTGACGTTGTTGTTGTTGTTGTTGTTGTTGATGATTATGATGATGATGTCGTTGTTGTCGTTGTTGTTGTTGTTGTTGACGTTGTTGTTGTTGTTGATGATGATGTCGTTGTTGTTGTTGTTGTTTTTGTTGTTGTTGTTGTTGTTGTTGTCGCGGGATTCAAGGGGCGAGACAAGGGGATATTTTGGTCGACTCATGGAAGCTGGTGGGGAAGGGCCGTGGCAGGGAGGGAGAGAGAGAGAGAGAGAGGGGGGGGGGGGGGGTGGGGGGAGAGGAGGTCGATGTGTGATTTTTTTATTTGGTATTATGAAATCAAATGCCGGGAAGGAAGCGGAGTAGTTTAATATGTGTTAATTATTGGTAAATTTTGTGGGTGGATAATGGGGTAATCGAAGGGGACGGAAACTAGTCCCCAAACTGCATGATTCTCCGGTGCAATTGACGAATTATTCGGTACGTGAATCGTACATCTTTGGATCGTGAGGCAATCAAGATAGTCCATTGTCCCCCTTTCCCCTTCCCCCCTTCCCCCTTCCCCCTTCCCCCTTCCCCCCCATTCCCCCTTCCCCCTTCCCCTCCCCACAAAAAGATTATCATGATAACCAACGTACTCTAACCGCAACCTCCTTTTTAATGAGGCAATCAATCTCGGAACCTTTACCATGATGTAATATCTGCGCGGCCGCTGCTGTTGTTGCCAATTGATCGCCGAACTTTCACTACCACTTGGCAACTACCCCTCGAGGGGATATACCCAGTCACTCTCCCCCTACTCCCCCCCCACTCCCCCCCTGTCTCCCCAGTTCGTCCCCAGTCGTGGTTTTATTGCTTCGTCTTTTTTATCTTAATTATATTTTTCCCGCCGGCGATAACGAGGCTCGTCAAGATCGATTGGCTTTCCGTTCCTTTTCGTGGTTCTCATGGGAAGGTGTTTGCTTTCCCATGGCTTTCTCGTGGCCAGGGTGCTTGGGAGTTTGTTTCTTAGCCTGAGAACTCTGGTGTAGTTTGCTGTGGTTTGTGTTCGGGCGAAGTTGTGTTCCCTTATTGGGTTGCGTCTAAACTTAAAAAAAACTTTAAAATAATTTAAATTTAACTATAAAATTATTAAAACGTGCTCGTTGCTATATATTTCTTTACGGAGCGTTATGCATACTCTTTATATTTAGATCAAGCTAGTCATACTTGGTTGTATTTGGAAACCAGGATTGTTTATTTTAAATGAAGGCTGTCAGCGAGGAATGTTAAGAACAAACTACTTGATTCATTGTTCGTTAGCTCGACGTTAGCTGATCCCCGAAGACAAATATTGTAACGGATGGTTTTCTGTGCTTGTGTGTGACTAGCCTCAATTTGTTCTTCATTTTCTCTACATTTCAAATTTATACACTTTTTTTGGGGGGGGAGGGGGGTATGATCCTTATTCATGAGTAGTGGCGACACGTTTGTTAGTGCTTTTACTTTCTCGTTTATTGAAGAAACTTGCTCTACATTGCCTTGGTCTGCTTTCAAATGTATGTAAATCAATTCGTCCCTAATCTAAATGTCGGGAATATACACTACGTCGTCTCCACCTACCCTCCCTTCCCAGGCCTCCCTTTCCAAACTTTCCTTTTCAATCCTCTCTTCCGAATCCTCCCTTTCGAATTCTCCCTTCCCAATCCTCCCTTCCCAGTTTTCCATTCCCAATTTTCCCTTCCCAATCCTCCCTTCCCAATCCTCCCTTCCCGATTTCCCCCCCTCCCCCCCTGCCGGCCTAATCTGTCAAGTGTTGTTTACCTCAGCCTTGGGGAGCGAGAACCCCGATTGTCCAGTTCATTTTCGCATCTCACTTTCCTCTTGGCTCCCCGCCGGCCCTCGCAATTAGCCCGGCGGTGAGGAGGAGGAAGAGGAAGAGGAGGAAGAGGAGACAAGAAGAGTTCAGTTTGAGAAAGTGAGAAAATAGGAAAACGTGAATTAGAATGAGAGAGGGGGGAGAATGAAAAAGGAGAGAGATAGAGAGGGAAAGAGAATAAGCGGATGTGGGAATGGGATTGATATTGAGGAGGGACAGAGAGGAGGAGAATGAGAAAGGGAGAGAGAGATAGAGTCGGGAAATAATGGGGATGAGAGACAGAGAAAGGAAGAAACTGAGACAATCTGAGAAAAGAAATGAAAAGAAGAGAATGAGATGGAGAAGGAGAGTGGCTTTCACTCACGCCTTTTACCGAGGGTTTGAGTGCTCTTAAAGGAATTGTTATGGTCTTTGTCGACTGTATTAGCGACGGTCTCGGTCTGTCTGTAAACTTGTTTAGGGTGGGCTTGATATTGTATGATTGTGTATGTCTATTTTTGTTTTTGTGAGATGAGTGCAATTGGTTTTATTGTTCGTGTCGTTAAAAAAAAATGGCGTGGGTGGGTTTCTGATTGCGTGTCATTGCGTGAAGGGTTATGCGTGACACCACATGTTCGTTTTTTTGTGCTTGAATGATCTCACGAAGATTTTCAGACAGTCTCAACCATGGAGACAGCGGGAGTTCCCTAAATATAAACCAAGGCTAAAGTGAAACACGCACACACTCACACTCACAGTCAAACTCACTCATATTCTTATTCACTCGGTCTCACCCTTACACTTTCGCATTTACGTTCCCATTCAAGATCACATAAACAATCATGCTTACGTTCACTCATAATCACACTCACTCACCCACTCACTTAGTCCCTCCCACACGCACTCACTCAGTCCCTCCCTCACGTACTCACTCACTCACTCAATCCCTCACTCACTCACTCAATCCCTCACTCACTCACCCACCCACCCACCCACCCACCCACCCACTCCCTCACCCACTCGTCCTCTCACACTCTCCTTCATTCACTCAATCACACTTGAACACCAGAAGGCACATTTGCACACCCTGAAAGAATCGCCACCCTATGTAAACTGTCACGAGGATTCCTCCAGGAGGGAGAAAAACGGGGCATGTGCAACCCGAGAGCAGGAGGACCGAGAGAGCTCTTTACTTTTCCCTTTGAGAGAAAACGGTCCTGTGTCAAGGGTGGTGTGAATGCTGGCTCCCCATCCGTCACTCGGGTCGTCAGGGGTGGCAGAGGACCGTCATTGTGCCAGGAGGAGGGGGAGGGGGTGGGTGGTCGGCCGAGGGGAGTGAGGGGTGTGGCAGGGGGAGAGGAAGATGGAAGGGGGATGAGGGAGGAGGGGGGAAGGCGTCTTGACTAGTTTAAGTGGCTTTAGTATACTTAACCTTAATGAATGTCCAGCCATCCATCACGTCGTGTTTTTGGGGTTGAATATGAGAAAGGAACATGGGGCTCCAGATTTCGTCTTTTGAGGGAAATTTTGGAGCAAATTTTTATTTTGCTTTCGCGTTTATTTGATTCTCCTTATTTTAGGTCAGGGATAGTGGGAGAAGTGAAAGGAGTGGAGATACAGAAAAAAAAATAGAAGAGAAAAAGAAAAGAAGGTACATATATTTCGTGATCTTTTAAGAGCAACATGGTGGAAAGGGGTTTATTTTTCGTGTATATACTTACGCTCCGTGCATTTACAAGTTAAATGCGTTTCGGCGCGTGTGTATATGGCCAGATGAGCGGTTCCAGGGAGGTTAGAGTGGGACTCATCCATTATCATAATTATGTCCTCTGATGAATGGCATTACCGCGAAACCTTAAAGTCCCCTTTTGTGGGTGTACTTGGGGGGGTGAGAAGGCGAAGGAATGTTTATAGAAAGGAATGGAAGGAAGGGAAGAAGAAGGAAAGAAAAAACATTGACGACCTGATGGCTGTTCCCACGATTAGACGCCTTGTCTGGGTCCTGCCACGAGAAATATCGCCGGCAATAAGTCTCAACGTCGAGGCTGTCATCGCCCGGATAGCACCGTCGGATGTGGTGCGGCGGGGCGCGTGGCGGAAGAGCTGGCCGGGCGGTTCCTCTCCTTTTCTCTCTCTCTTTCTCTCTCTCTCTCTTCCTCTCTCTCTCTTCCTCTCTCTCTCTTCCTCTCTCTCTCTCCCTCTCTCTCTCTTCCTCTCTCTCTCTCTCTCTCTCTCTCTCTCTCTCTCTCTCTCTCTCTCTCTCTCTCTCTCTCTCTCTCTCTCTCTCTCTCTCTCTCTCTCTCTCTCTCTCTCTCCCGTAATCTTTCGTTTTTGCGTGTGTTTATATTCGTATTTGTTTGTTTGTGTGTGCTAAATTGCTTTTGGAAATGGAAAAGGTAAGTTATAAAGTAAAGATTTACGGTCAGCATCCCAAGGTGAGAACCCTCGCTCCTCGAGACACCCGAGATGCTCTGTGGATTAAACAGACGTTGACTGTTTTTTTTTTAACAACTTTTTCTGCGTTGACCTGTGACATAATAGGCGTTTATGGCCTTTCACGACATCACTAACAGGCCATTGTTCGGAGGCTGACCTAATTGACTCGTGTGTATAATAGGTTTTATTACTGGTAATTATATTCTTGTAAGGAGATGCCCATAAAAGATTAATAATGCCAAAGACATAAATATTTTTTTCGCTCCCTTCGGTTACAGGTATTACCAGTCGTATAAAAGGGACAAGGGTAGCACTATCTTTGGACTTAATGTTGTTTAATCATGAAGAAAGGTCATGAAATATTGGCATATGATCCTGCCAGCCCTTTCTCTCGCACGATAGGATCTTGGTCTATTACTCAACTTCTAAGCATTTAAAAGATTAAGAAGTTTTTTTTTCCCGAAGAGTTCGAATAGTTGATTAATCCTCTTTTTCTTCGTTTTTCTTCCGCCACAGATGAGAGAGACGCCATCCAGAAGAAGACGTTTACGAAATGGGTGAACAAACACTTAAAAAAGGTAAGTGAAGATGAGCTGGTGTGTCACGCTGGCTGTGTGTGAATCCCTGAATCCGATTAGCTTTTCGCTCTTTGTGCAGCGAGATAAATATAGAGCCCGGAAATAGCGGCGGGACGGCCGGTGTGCTCCAGGGGGCGAGGTGCATGGATTGCAGGCGGATCGGCTTTCCTTTTCCCCCCGTCTTTCCTTCGGTTTTTACGGTTATTCGGATTGTTTGTTGATGGTCTTCGTTTTTCTTTTTTCATCTTTTGTCTCTTTCTGTTATTTATTTATTTATTTTTTAATAATTATTTCTTTATTCATTTTATTCTCTCCTCCGTCTGTCTCCTCCACAATTTACTTCTATTTTTTTTCTTCACTGTAGATGTTAATTTGAATGCCATACGAATCATGCAATACATTGTATTCGTCATCTTGTCTGTCGCAACATTTTTTTCAAGACCCATAATTCTAAATCCACTGTGCTAGAGTACTTCATATAATTTACAAAAGAGAGAAAGATGAAAACAAACATTCTGCCCAGATGGGGCCATTACCTGATGGTGCCAAAACGCTTATAGTTTAAACTCGAGGTCAAAAATCCCTCGGATTAATAGGATTTTGGACAGTAAAGTTGGACCGGTAGCGGTGGGGGAGGGGGAGAGGGAGGTGGTCCGTAGGGTTGAATTTCCGATGTAAAGAGAGTGCCACGTCGACCCTTACGGCCGTCCGCTCTCGGGTCAGGTGTAGAACGGGGATGGGGGAGGGGTGGGGGGGGGGGCTCTTGCCTTACATCACTAGCTATTTACGGACGGCTCGTGTTGTCGTCAGCCGGGGGACAAATAGCCCTGAGATAGTGACATCTTTTCCGACGCGAAGAAGGGCGGTTTGACAGTCCCGTTAGAGGAGAGTTGCACAGTAGAAGAGGAGGAGGAGGAGAAAGAGAGGAAGGAGGAGACAGAAAAAGGTGAAAATGGAGGAAGAGAGAGAGAGAGAGGGAGGGAGAGAGAGGTATGCAAGAGAAAGGGGTAGAGGAACTATAGAAGATGGGAGAAGTATAAGAAGTAGGTAGGAAGAAGGGGGACGAAGAGGATGAGTGCATAAGAACAGGGAAAGAGAAAGTAAGAAAGGGAGGAGTCGGTGAAGAATGACGTGCATTTATGAAGAAGAGGAGGCCAAGAGAAAGGTTGGAGGAGCAGGAGGGAGGGAGGGACGGACGGAGGGAGGGAGGGAGGGGAGGGAGGGAGGGAGGGAGGGGGGGGGGGAAAGAGGCAGAGCCTGCACTTGTGACCTGCACGACCATCTTGCCGGGAGAGATTTATGTTTGTCAATCTTAGCGAAAGGTCAAAGGTCGGAGGTCCTGCTTCGCGAGTTGATGGAGATCTTTGCTAAGTGCTTCTCATCTCGGGGGAAGTAATTGTTGATATCTGATATGCAGGGCTGTCATTCTAGGAAGCTCGTAGATCACAGGCAATCAGTTCTCCATTACTTGATGTAGATCTCTATTAGAGCTTGGGGAATAATGCAGGGGGGGTTAAATGATTAAGTTTTTTTTTTTGCTGTGTATCCTTCCTCTCTCGGTTTGCTTAGCTCCCGCTCTCTCTCTCTCTCTCGCTCTCACCCTTGCTCTCTCTCTCTCTCTCTCTCTCTCTCTCTCTCTCTCTCTCTCTCTCTCTCTCTCTCTCTCTCTCTCTCTCTCTCTCTCTCTCTCGCGCTCTCGCTCTCACCCTTGCTCTCTCTCTCTCTCTCTCTCTCTCTCTCTCTCTCTCTCTCTCTCTCTCTCTCTCTCTCTCTCTCTCTCTCTCTCTCTCTCTCTTTCTCTCTCTCTCTTTCTCTCTCTCTCTCTCTCTCTCTCTCTCTCTCTCTCTCTCTCTCTCTCTCTCTCTCTTCTCTTTCTCTCTCTCTCTCTTTCTCTCTCTCTCTCTCTCTCTTCTCTCTCTCTCTCTCTCTCTCTCTCTCTCTCTCTCTCTCTCTCTCTCTCTCTCTCTCTCTCTCTCTCTCTCTCTCTCTCTCTCTCTCTCTCTCTCTCTCTCTCTCTCTCTCTCTCTCTCTCTCTCTCTCTCTCTCTCTCTCACACACACACACACACACACACACACACACACACACACACACACACACACACACACACACACACACACTCACACATCTCTACTCTCATTCTCTCTCTCTCTCACATTCTTACTCCCACTCTCTCTTTCTCTCACTCTTACTTCTCTCTCTCTCTCTCTTCTCTCTCTTTCTCTCTTATTCTCTCTCTCTTACTCTCTCTCTCTTACCTCCCCCTCCTCCTCCTCTCTCCTCCCTCTCCTCTCTCTCTCTCTCTCTCTCTCTCTCTCTCTCTCTCTCTCTCTCTCTCTCTCTCTCTCTCTCTCCTCTCCCTCCCTCCCTCCCTCTCTCCTCTCCTCTCTCTCCTCCTCTCTCTCTTTCTCGCTCTCTTCTCTCTCTCGTCTCCTCTCCTTCCCTTCCCTTCCCTTCCCTTCCCCGTTGCCTCACTCCCTCCTCTCCCTGGATGTTGGGAAGGGAAGGGGCCTAACCATAGACCTTGCCGCGCCCTCGTTACCTGGTGCGTGAGGCTTTGTAATGAATTTCTCGCCCTGTCTTCTCTCCTAACATATTGTAATTGATCAAGTGTGAGCGTGGGCGAGCCTATAGCATGTGTACTGTGCAAGCCTTGTCTGTGGGCGGATCCCGCTGTGGGCGAAGTAAGGGAAGGTTGTTTTTAGTATGCAAATGAGGGTTATATTCGGTGCGTTTGAAAATTACTGGTTCGTTTTTTTTCTCTCTCAAAGTCGGTTTGTGTCGCGGTGGCCGTCCCTACGTCATTTCATTGTCTCCGCCCGTTCTCGGGAAACGCGGTTTCGACGAAGCGGCCGGTGATGGCCCGTGCCGAATATAGAGCCTCGTCAGGGTGGTTGCCCCGTCTTGCCTCACATCCTCCTCGGTGTGGTCAGCTGATGACGCAAAACAACCACTGAGTTTGTTTACATTAGCGTTGAGTTGCGAGCGACTTCTCTCGAGGAGATGGCGGCCGCCTTGGTCAGGTCGCCGAGTCATTGTCCTCCGTCACGTCACAACACTTGGGCTTCATATGACGGATCTCGCAGCGCGGAGTGATTCCTGGGCGGGCTGGATGCGTGCGTGTGGATGCCTTTAATGGGCATTATTGCGCTTGTTGAACTGTCTGAATTTTTAACTTTATTGTCGCGGTGTTTGCTTAACTGCTCCGACTTGTGTTATCAGATGTTCTTAACTGCCTCGACCTTTTTTACAGTTTAAGACCATTATACGTCTTTAAGATTTACAGATGGCTTCGATGTTGTGTGTCAGCTGTCATGAAACGATCAGCATACTAATCGATGACATCATTTGCAGTGTCATGTGCAACAGTAGCAGCAACGGTGCAACGGGGAAGGCTGCAAATGGCATGAGAGTACTTCAGGCGCTCGCCACTTATCACGACATTTATACATCATTAATCGCGCTGGCTGTTCGTTGCCTCGCTCGGCGCCCTCTCCGCAAGGCTGCTGTTGCCGTTGCTGTTTCCTGTCAGGGAGAATGGGCTGGGCTGTCGGGAGATAGTTGACTCGGGAAGTAAACAAGCTGAACGTCTTAATGATTGTTATAACTGATGATCGGTTTCGCTTGAGTACACACTGTGAGTGAACCATGCAGAACAATCTATTGTTTCATATTAGATACTAAATTGAGAGCTTATTTGAGCAAGAGTTAAGACACAAGGGCGATGATGTCAGAGATGGCGGTAGCCGCCATCAGTAGACACGGTTAGCGAAGCGCGAATGTGACCGCACGAAAGGATTGTTCGTTTTTGTCTCGAGAGGAAATGTCTGGGTTTCCTCTCATGTGTTCTGAGGGGGGCGAGACGAGACGAGGGGAAGGACAGAGGGGAGAAAGTTGTGTCACCACCTAATTGGCGACGCCGTGTTTATATCCTGTAGGAGGGTGGTGACGTCACCCCGTCTGGGGTTTAGGTTAGCGTCTGACGGTTGGCGGAGCAGCGAGGAAGGGGGAGACGGGGGGGGGGGGGCGGTCAAGATGGAGATTCAACCCCTCCCAAAATATCGCCTTGTGTGCTTAGGGATTTATTGAGTAAATAGAACAATAAATTCGACAGTGACATTTAGCCTCTTGTTATTTTTCGAAGAGATGAAGCGTAAGCGGAGGTCGCGTCACATGCACTCCGCGAGGCGTTTAATGCTCGTCACATTCATGCATTGTCGCCTGCATGCAAAGATGCAAAAAAAAAAAATGCATCGTCGAGCCAAAAGTCAGAGGTTATAAGCAGAGCATCGGTGCAGATGGAAAAGGATAGACTTGTGAAAAACAGGCCTCCACCGCAGTGCAATAACTGGAGTTGATGTGGCGACATTTACAACGTGTGTGTGGCGAGAGGGCGTCGCGAGGCCAGGTGACGACGGGAGGAAGGTGCTGGGGGGGGGGGGGAGAAGACTCGGGGAGGTAAGAGGAAGGGGAGAGTGGAGGGAGAGGGAGGGAGGCAGGCTGGGGAGGCAGAGAAGGAAGAGGGTAGGAGAGCAGTCCCTGATGCAGGATGAGGGACATGATTGTAAGGAATGAAGAAAGAGGGATGGGGGCGTGAGGGGATGGGATGGGATGGGGAGGGGAGGGGAGGGGAGAGGGGAAAGGTGTTGAAGGTATGAAGGAGAGGGAAGGATGATGAGGGGGGGGAGGGGGAGGGGGTATAGGTCGTGGATGCGGAGGGGTCAAGCCAATGCTCCTGCTATATTTGGTCGGGAGTCGTCAGCTCTGGTTTTCCATTCCGCTCTGCATCCTCACCCCCCCACGTCCCCCCACACGTTTCATCTCCTCTCCTCTCCCTCTCCCAATCTCTAAAGTTATCCTTGTCTCGTCGCCTTTCTGCCCTCCGTCGTAGGCATTCTCTTGCCACTAAATCTGCCGTTCCTTTCCTATTCAGCCAATACTCCCTCAGAAATAATCACTCTGTCACTATTACGGTACAAAACTTCACACTTTTCATCCAG